ATTGTACATCAAGTAGTGAAAAGATCACTGAATGATTCTGATATGAATTCAAATCATGTTGCTGCTGGAACAGATAATGAAGGATCAGCCTCGAATCAACTCCAAGGTCCTATTGGAATTTTTGTCGATGTGAACTTCGATTTATATGTGGCAGATAGTCTAAATGATCGAGTTCAGTTATTCCAGTCAGGCAAATCAAATGGTATCACAGTAGCTGGAAGTAAATCACTAATTCCAACAATTACACTTCGTTATCCATGTGGAATTATATTAGATGCTGAGAAATATTTATTCATTGCAGATAATAACAATCATCGAATTGTTGGTTCGGACTCAAATGGTTTTCGATGTTTAGTTGGATGTTATGGAAGGGGTTCACAATCCAATCAATTGGATAATCCAACTAGTTTCAGTTTTGATCGTTCTGGAAATATACTTGTTACTGATTTATCTAATGGTCGAGTTCAAAAATTTAAATATTTAAAAAAATCTTGTGGTAAGTTGGAGTATAATCGAATGAGATGATGAGATGTGAATGTTGATAGTGAAAAGTTGTATGGTTTTCGTTAGAAAAAATCGAAGTCCAAATCAGTAGAGAAACCTCTACATGAAACTTTTCTGATCGAAAAACAATAAAATTGTGTAAATAAAATAATTGATCGATTTAACAATTTCAATATAAATTAAGTAAACTTATTTACGACAAGATATTTCAAATGACTATAGATATTCTTCTTTTAAACATTCTTACCTTCAAGATGTGAAGATAACTATCACATCAAAAAGAAACGTCAAATATATTGGTTGTTTTTACAAGAATAACACACAGAACTTCTTAGATGTTACATAGAAACTATCTAATCGACGTGAACAATATTATGTTTTATTTGATTGATTGATTGATTCCGAAAAAAATCCTCAATTAAATCTAATCATTCAGAAGTTTCATTCTTTTCAGTCGTCAGATTTTATTTCAAGTTTTTGAGTTTCATGTAAAAATCAAGCATT